GATGAGAGAACTAGCAACAGTAACTATCGAGAGTCCTCTCTCAAGTGGAAACGGGCCTTTAGAAAGCACGATTGTAAGCTGCCGTTTTGGTGGTTTCATGATAGGTGCTATTCAGTGCACACTGCACAAACAGATGACCATATCTCCACTGACCGCATTTACTATCGCGCCATCATCGAAGTCCTCAGTTTGGGCTGTCTGTTGCTGCGGTGCATCTCTCACTACACCCGGGCTGGTGGCTGCATGCCGTGCCGGGTCGCTAGTTTGGGTAACCACTCATCCGTTCGTTTGGGACGAGCTGTGCGTCCAAGTCTATAGACCTTGCTGTGTGTATTGCTGCTCCGAGCCCCCGCGTCGGCGACTCGTGTGTGGGGTCAGACCGCCACACTGAAATGTGTAAATTTACATTAAAAGACGTGATCCAATCGTCTAGTAAAAACGGAATGAAGCCGCTGGGTGAGGTTTGGCTATGTTGGACGATATCACATGGGTTGTATTTCAGTATTTGTTTGCTATATCTCATTCATAAAGGACTACACTATTTATAAATTTATCATTATTAATTTTTACCTCGTGTAACTCTAAACCTTTCGTTCTTTTATACAGGTTTTAGATATAATTATTTATTACACAGTGTGGCGTGGCTTGGAGTTGAAAGGGGTATTTTGGATGAAGTGCTCCATAATTTGTGTGTGAAATTTACCAACGAAAATTTTATTCGTATGTACTCTTACAGCTGTAGCTTGTTCTTAAAACTTATAACTAAGCTGTGCGTGTAAAAAACTTAAATCTTGTCATATGGAAAATAAGTAAATGAATTAAATTACCAAAACTTGATCTCTACACAGTGGCCTGGTCGGAAAGTTAAACATTTTCATAAATTCTGGAATAACAACAATTGTGTTCTTGTACCATCGGGGTGTATTGACATGGTCCAGTACTCCCTGGGGGTCATGGTGGGGGGACACTGCTCCCTAAGTCAAGATGGGGTCCCACTAGTCTGGGAAGAAAGCTGAAGGCCGGGAAACACGGACCAGGTGTGCGTGTAGAATGGGGAGATGGAGATTGTCGCCATCCGTAGGGAGGTGCGAGGAACCACTGACCAGTATGGGATCCCGGAAGTGGGGAATGGTGCCCTCTGCCAGGAAGTGAGAAATATTGCTAACGTCTCTGCCAGCCTTTCCTGACCCTTTGTCAATACCAACTTATGATTCATCTCAAGTCACACTCGCTACTGGTCATCGCCGTCATGGAATAAGATGACAGAAATTGCCGACCGGGAATGGTGCTATCCATACTCAAGTGCCAGGTAACATTACGTCTGCAACTCTTGTCTTGCAACCTTTGAAAAACTGAAGTTGTTTTGTTAAACAATTTATTAATTTTGTCGCCGTTTTTTAATATTCGTGCGTTAGGTACAGTACATCTTAATAGTATTTTTAATATTATTGTCATTGTTTTTATTGTATTCATTTCGCATCGGAATTTAAGAACTTTGTTTATTTTTATACAGTAGATATTTCACACACACACACACACACACAAGTAATAAACTATTGGTCGAGGAGCACTCTGCCGAGGTGGTGGAGTAACCCACGATCTGCTGAACACTAGAACAGAGGGGCCATCAGATTAACCCAAACCAGGAAAACTTTTCTATGTTTAACACTAATTATTCCTCAAATAGAATATGACTTCACCTATATGTGAACCTCTGTCCTGCGTGGCAGTGAACAGTGATAACACATTCAGTGTCAAGACCTGCCTGAATTACTCAGAATAGGCAAACTGTACTCAAAGCTTTGCCAATATATTTGTTAACAGTTAAAATCTTCTAAGTTTAAGAATACCGTATTATTTGGTCAGCAGAAAGTTACAGAAATATAAGTTACATTATGGTAGTATTATTTACACGGGTGACTGACTTTTCTTTTTTTAATCTGTAGAGAGATTTACGTATAAGTTTTTAATCTGAAATGATGAATTAGAGAAAGGCAAAATCCTACCCTTATTCTCCTGTGCGTGCTTAAATGGCTTTACAGTAAGAGAAAAAGTAATCACAGTTATAAATATAACCTTAAGGAGAAATGCTACTCATCATTAAGTACATATGACCGGCACTTCAATATTCTACATAGTCGGTATAGTTTAAGAGATGGAACAATGGAACAAAGCGTAGTGTTTCCTCGAATGGATGAGGATGTGTCGTTCCACCCTTGTCAACTATGTTACTCCTGGAGTTGTGGGACTGATATGAACTCATAAGACACGACCACAACACTTGAGAGTTCCCTGAATGGATCCTCTCATTTGTCTTGAACCTGCAAAAGTGATTGTTAGTCAGGTGGTCAACTTATTTAATAACAAAATAAGATCAGTAGTAAGTATAAATGTCATGAAACAAAATAGGATCAGTAGTAAGTATAAATGTCATGAAACAAAATAGGATCAGTGGTAAGTATAAATGCCATGAAACAAAATAGGATCAGTAGTAAGTATAAATGTCATGAAACAAAATAGGATCAGTAGTAAGTATAAATGTGATGAAACAAAATAGGATAATTAGTAAATATTAACGGTATTAAATCTCATCAACATGAAATTTGCAGATAGTTCATTCGTGTGGGTCAAGTTATCTTGTTGCCAAGACTTTATTAGTTCTACCCGAGGCTCTCCCTAGTGTATAGCTGTATTATGAAGTGTGTGTGTTAAATTAAGAGTTTGATAGACGTATTTACTGCTCTCACAGTCATGTACTAATTGCTACATTGTGTTCATTCCAACTTAGATTATCTTCGTCAAACTGTACCAATGAATACAGTAGGTTTTTAATAGACAATAATTTAATAGAAACTTTTCTGAACTATACATTGATACACTCCATACCAAAATATTGTGTTGACATGACGGATACGCATTACCTTTGTCATTAACCTTTGTCGATAAACACATACCTGTTTATATTACTCACCTGTGTCCTGGTGGTATTGTTCGTGACTGAACTCTGAATGACACAAAACAAGGTGTCGTAAGAATATTAAATTTGTGAAAGAAATTAAAAGTTTGTTTAATAAAAAAGTAATATTCAACACACACACACACACACACACACACACACACACACACACACACTCTCTCTCTCTCTCTCTCTCTCTCTCTCTCTCTCTCTCAAAGAAGGAAATCAAGCACCCTACATAGTGTGTCTGTGTGTGTGTGTGTGTCAGTAGTTACACATTCTTGAGAGTTTTTTAGTCAAATAATCAACACGTTGCTCCTTCCTTCGGCCAGTGTTCATATGTTGTCCCAGTCACCCCACAGTCCCAGTCACCCCACAGTCCCAGTCACCCCACAGTCCCAGTCACCCCACAGTCCCAGTCACCCCACAGTCCCAGTCACCCCATTGTACTGCCAGTGTACAGAGAGGAAATCCCTGGGAGAAAATTAGTCCACCGGAAAAATCGTCACTAAATAATTACCAACGAGAGAAAATACTTCACCAAGATGATACTCTCTCTGCTAAAAACTTAGGACTTTATAACCTCAATTGACTCACTAATTACCATGCAGCAATGTTTTCGTATCACCTGATGATTACCACCCTCCCAGTTTGTTTCACTTTTAAGATTCACAAACCTAACCTAACCTAACCTAACCTCCTTTATTTCTTTTCTTCTTTCACTGAACCCCTTCCTCCAATCCACTCCCCTTTCTTCCTCTCCTCTCCCTTTCCCTGTCTTCTCTCTTCTTCCCTCTCTTCTCTCCTTTCTCCATTGTTCTCTCCTCTCCACTCCCTTTCTCTTCTTTACCCTTCTTCTTCCCTCCCTTTTATTTTCTTCCTTCCTCTCTTTCCACCCCTCTCCTCCTTTCTCTTCCTCCTCCTCCTCTCTCTTCCTTCCCCCCCCCCCTTTTTACCGCCCCTTCCCCTTTCTCCCTTCCATTTCCCTCTCTTCTTTTCCCTCCCCTCTCTTCCTTCCCCTCTCCCCCCTTCCCTCCCCTCTTCCTTCCCTCTCCTTCCACATACCTCACCAGTGGGTTGCCTAGTGATGGTGTTGATCCATTATCGATGCTTAAGTGATGGAGGGAGTGATGGAGGAGTGATGGAGGGGTAGCTGTTTGTTGGGGGGTGGTAGTGGGAGTAGTATGTTGGGGGTGGTGATGGTAGTTTGTGTTGGGGGTGGTGGAGGACTAGTTGTGGTGGAGGGTTGTTGTTGTGTCGGGGTGGTGATGGGTAGTTGTTGTGTTGGGGGGTGGTGGAGGGACTAGTTGTGGTGGAGGGAGTTGTTGTTGTGTTGGGGTGGTGATGGTAGTTGTTGTGTTGGGGGTGGTGGAGGACTAGTTGGTGGAGGGTTGTTGTTGTGTTGGGGGTGGTGATGGTAGTTGTTGTGGTGGAGGGGGTTGTGTTGGGGGTGGTGATGGTAGTTGTTGTGTTGGGGTGGTGGAAGGACTAGTTGTGATGGAGGGTTGTTGTTGTGTCGGGTGGTGATGGTAGTTGTTGTGTTGGGGGTGGTGGAGGGACTAGCTGTGGTGGAGGGGGTTGTTGTTGTGTTAGGGGTAGTTGTTTTGTTGGGGTGGTGATGGTGGTGGAAGGGGATAGTTGTTGTGTTGGAGTGGTGATAATGGTGGTGGTAGTTTGTGTAGTGAGTGGTGTTAGATTATTTACTATATTGTGGTAGTGGTTGGTACTCATGCTGCCACTCAGGTTAGTACTCAAGGTTGGCATTCAGGTTGGCACTCTCAGTTCATATGTATACCGTGGACAAGATCTATCCCTCAAACAAGACCCAATTTATGCCCATATGAATTATTCAGTTAACACACGTGGCTAGAGGATATCCGTGTTAGCTTTGATTACTTCCTTCGGTTTCTTCCATAACTAAATTTTGGGGCTTACCTAGCATGTACATAGTGTGTGTGTGTGTGTGTGTGTGTGTGTGTCCCTCCATGCATAATTTACCCGAGAATGGTTGTCAGCCTGTTGCTGGCCAGTGTGTGCTCGGCCACGGGAGAGGGAGGTCACGTCTCTCCCTGCTCTCACCTTACTCTACGAACTCTGCAAAAGTTATATATTCACTCAGGAAGCCACATGGTCACTCTTTGAAGTAATCCAGACACACTTACAGGCTCAAGGATAAAAGGATCACTCTTGTATGGTCTTTACGATATCAATGGGAAATTTTAAGTTACATCAGAAGATCAATCTCGGACAGCACAAGCATGCCGTGATAGTTTGAGTTTATCTGGAGGATGCTTTTATGTCGGGGTTTCACTCAGAATAAGTTAGGTTGCCAAGCGGTGCACCTTCATTGAGTAACCCTTGGTCTCACAAGAAGGTCTGAGGAGTTGCGTAGTGTCATGTGATCCTCAAGATGACATTGGTCATTCCGGAAGTTCTCTGAAGAAGCTCTGGGAATAATAGAAGCTCCGTAACCATTCAAGAAGTCTGATGGAGACGAGAAATGATTGTGATTGCTTAAGAGGCCTCGTAAGCGCACTAGAAGTTTCGTGATGTCTTTAGATTTCTCAAGACCATTACCAAAGCTCTGTGAATATCCCGTAAGCCCAATGAGAACTCTAGATGCTTTGTGATCACTAATGAAGCCTCTCTTGATCACCCTAGGAGCTCTGTAATCAACCAAGAAGCTTGAAGGACACTCTGGAAACTCTGCGATCACAAAGAACACTATAAAGACTACTTATTTATTCTTCAGTCACTCTAAGAACAGTTCCATCATCCAGAAATCAGTGCTAGCAAGGTATTGATCAACTGCGTATTTCGCAAATGAGTGTTGTATGTGCGTGTAACACGCTTCTTCCTGTTGTGTGCACATTATTTACAATCCGTTAGAAGACATATATGTACCTATCTTTGTTTTAGCTCTGCATTTCTAGGTCACGTACAACTGTTACAATTGTTGGAATGAAACCCAACGAAAAATGAAAATGTTGAGTGTTATTGATGGCAGTGATCCCTGGAGATGTGAGAACGTATTTGGTGGGTTCCCTTAAGTTTTGCCATGAATGTTGTAGTCAAAAGTCATCAATGTTGCGCTGACGCTCTGCTGCAACTAAATACGTTCTCTTCCACTTGAACCAGAACTGAAGGCAACAGGGTTTTAAAAAACCGTAGTATAACATGTCAGGTTGAGGACGACTTTCCACTTGGCTCAGCTCTGGTATCACTGATTTCGCTTCACCACACTGGATGATTGTCAGTGATTTAACCTCATATCCTTTTTTGCTTTCAACCGAATAAGAAGCTTTTTTATGTATCTTATGTTCCTGCTTGTAATTTCGTGAGAGAGAGAAAACAGTAGTGTGGATGACCTCACTTTCAACATTTATATAAAGTATATCTGTATCCCGTGTAGCACCAAGTGCGTGTTGTTCATGATTAGTCTAGTCAAGGTTCCTTCACTTATTTATAGGGACGCGCGCTTCCACGTAGCCAGATGTAAACACTACCTGTATGAGGTTCCGTACACTCCAGGTAAATGTAGAGTTATGACCCAACGATCAGCCAAGGCTTAGTTCTGGCATGTGATTAAAACGTATATTTTATTTCCTGTCATTGTTTAGTAAATTTGACGAATAAAAAGGACAACTATGATGTTGTAAAAGAGCAACCCACAGGAAGAGAGAGGAAGAGATGCAAAGAAACAGAGGAAGATAAAAGTGGAAGTAAGAAAGAGAAGCAGAGAGGTGCTGACATTCTAAAGTATAGCTTCTTAACCTCAATAGCCAACGAGCTCTTAGACAGGAGAGACAGACAAACGAGCAAATTCCTTATTTTCCAGAATCCTCCAGATGGGTCAGGACGGTCGAGCGTTTGTTGCACCACTAGCAGCACTCCTCACCGTAGTTTTCATCCTGGCGGTGGCCTTCTGCGACAACTACAACCGCCACTACAAGAGCTACCAGCCCAAGGTACACACACACACACACACACACACACTACCACCACACACACACACACACACACTACCACCACTACCACTTACCCAAGGTACACACACCACCACCACTACCACTTACCCAAGGTACACACACCACTACCACTTACCCAAGGTACACACACCACTACCACTTACCCAAGGTACACACACACCACTACCACACACACCATACCACTTGCAGGCACACACACATCACTACCACCCAAGGCACACACACACTACCACTTACCCAACACACACACCACTACCACTTACCCTGCACACACACACCACTACCACTTTCCTAGGCACACACACTTACCACCACCACTTACCCAGGTACACACTACCACCACCACCACTTATCCAAAGCACACACACTACCACCACCACTTCACCAAGGCACACACCACCACCACCACCACTTACCCAGGTACACACACACTACCACCACTTATCCAAAGCACACACACTACCACCACCACTACCCAAGGTATTCACACTACCACCCACCACTTACCCAAGGTACACACACTACCACCACCACACCCACACACTACCACCCTAAGGTACACACACTACACCACCACTTACCAAGGTACACACACTACCACGACCACTTACCCAAGGTACACACACCACCACCACAACTTACCCAAGGTGCACACACTACCACCACCACTTACCCAAGGTACACACACTACCACCACCACCACCACAACTTACCCAAGGTACACACACCACCACCACTTACCCAAGGTACACACACACCACCACCACTTACCCAAGGTACACACACTACCACCACCACAACTTACCCAAGGTACACACACCACCACCACACTTACCCAAGGTACACACACTCTACCACCACTGCACACACCACCACCACAACTTACCCAAGGTACACACACTACCACCACCACTTACCCAAGGTACACACACTACCACCACTTCCACCACCACAACTTACCCAAGGTACACACACCACCACCACAACTTACCCAAGGTACACACACTACCACCACCACTTACCCAAGGTACACACACTACCACCACTTCCACCACCACAACTTACCCAAGGTACACACACCACCACCACAACTTACCCAAGGTACACACACTACCACCACCACTTACCCAAGGTACACACACTACCACCACTTCCACCACCACAACTTACCCAAGGTACACACACCACCACCACAACTTACCCAAGGTACACACACTCTACCACCACTACCACCACCACAACTTACCCAAGGTACACACACTGCCACCACAACTCCCCAAGGTACACACACTACCAGTTTACGTCGTCTCATGGGGGACCCTGTCGAAGCCTTTGTTGTAGTCGAGATATACCACATCATAATCGTGTTCGTCGTCCACTGATTCGAAAACAGTTGAAAATAAGATAATAGATTTGTCAGACATAAGTGCCCGCTTGGGAAGCCATGCTGGTTATTATCATTGATCAACTTGTGTTTCTCAAGATGATTTCGAATTGAGTTTGAAATTATTTCTTGCAGTAATTTCCTTACAATGGATGTGAAACTGATTGGACAGTAGTTTGAGGATAGTGATCTATCTCCTTTGAAAATCGGTATCACTTTCACTATCCTCCAGGATTGTGGGACTACACCTGCTTAATGACTAATATAAAGTTTGCTAAGGGCATACAAAGCTCTTCCTTACATTCCTTTCATACTCTGGCAGATACCTCATTGGGACCTGGTGACTTATTTTGTTTTAGTTTATCTATTTGTTTACTAAAACCGTTTAGCCAAGTAAACAATGTGTATTTGCTCGAAACAAGGCTAATAAAGTACTTGGGTTCATACAAAGGGGTGTTAGTTACAAGACTAGCGAGGTCATCCTAAAACTATATCTTGCGCTTGTGAGACCTCACTTGGAATATGCAGCTCAATTCTGGTCACCGTATTACAGAATGGGTATAGAATCCTTAGAAAGAATTCAGAGGAGAATGACAAGACTAATCCCGGGCATTAGGAACCTTGAGTACAGAGACAGGTTAAAGCATCTTATTTTACACTCCCTCGAGAGACGTAAAGTGAGGGGCGATATGATAGAGGTGTATAAATGGAAGTCAGGGCTGAACTAAGGGGACATTACAAATGTACTCCAACTATCCAACCAGGAGCGAACTCGTAACAATGGTTTTAAATTAGACAAATTTAGATTTAGGCGCGAAATAGGTAAACGTTGGTTTGGAAATAGAGTAGTGGATGAGCGGAACAAGTTACCAAATATCATCATTAACTTGAATACGCTGGATAGCATCAAGCATAGGTTGGGTGGTTATATGAACAATAGGGGTTGGATGTAAATGGGACTGCCCAGTCTGGGCCAATATGCCCGCTGCAGTTTCCTCCATTCTTTTGTTCTTATGTGCTTCACTATCTCTGGAGATAGTCGGTGCCTCGGGTATCCTGTTGAAATTTTCGGTTTGAAAACTGATGAACTATATCTGTTCAGATTATTGGTCATTTCTCTCTCGTTATCACTTAGCTCGCCTGTATCTGACTGTATTGGTCCAATTTTGTCTCGTGTTTAAGTTTGATACATTTGGATAAATCCCTTGGGGTTTGACTTCGCCTCCCTTGCTACCTTTAGTTCATTATTCCACTCTGCTTTTCTTATCTCGGTCTTAACCCTACTGGCCAATACCTTATAATAATCTCGGAGGTAAACTTCACGATTCATTTTCGTACCTATAACCTTCCTTTGTTCAGTAGTATTCTTTAAATAATTATTTATCCATTTCGGGTCATTGTTGTATGAACTGAGCTTTTTGTATGGTATTTTCTGCCTTTGTGCATTAAGTAGCTCGTTATTTAATTTATGGAACTGTCAACCTCATATCTCGTGGTCAGGTTACCTCGGTATTCATGGTGCAATTCTCTACCACCACCATCACAAGGTATACATACTCTCGACCACCACAGGGTATACATGCTCACCACCACCACAAGGTATACATACTCACCACCGCCACAAGGTATACATGCTCACCACCACCACAAGGTATACATACTCACCACCGCCACCACAAGGTATACATACTCACCACCGCCACAAGGTACACATACTCACCAACGCCACAAGGTATACATGCTCACCACCACCACAAGGTATACATGCTCACCACCACCACAAGGTATACATAATCACCACCACCACCACAAGGTATACATGCTCACCACCGCCACAAGGTATACATGCTCACCACCGCCCACAAGGTATACACACTACCCACCACCACAAGGTATACATACCACCACCACCACAAGGTATACATACTCACCACCGCCACAAGGTATACATGCTCACCACCACAAGGCATACATGCTCACCACCACCACCACAAGGTATACATGCTCACCACCGCTACAAGGTATACATGCTCACTACCGCAAGGTATACATGCTCACTACCACAAGGTATACATGCTCACTACCACAAGGTATACATGCTCACTACCACAAGGTATACATGCTCACCACCACAAGGTATACATACTCACCACCAACACAAGGTGTACTTGGCGACAATTATTTATGAATAAAAAATAGAAGGCCCGAGGAATTAAGACTAGTTATTTTCTTAAAGACATTGTTTATGAGAAAGTATTGTTTTCTTCCCGTGTATAAGTATATCGTATATCGATCAGTGGTCCTACCCACCCTACTATAAACTATATGGCAGTGAGATATGGGTCACATACAGGAGGCTCCTCAAGGCACTTGAAAACTTTCACCAACGTAGTCTACGTTCCATCCTCCAAGTTCGCTGGGAAGATAAGCGAATAAATACCAGTATTTTTGCTGACACCTACTGTAGGAGCATCGAGGCAACCATTATCCATGAACAACTACGTTGGACTGGCCATGTTACCCGCATGGACGACAGTAGATTGCCAAAGCAGCTTCTTTACAGTCACCTAACGAATAGTAAACGTAACGCTGGCGGGCAACTGAAAAGGTATAAGGATAGTCTTAAGACAAACCTGAAAAGGTGCCAAATTGACCCCCTCCACATCGTAACGCTTGGAGAAGCACCACACGAGAAGGTGTCAATACCTTCAAGTTAGCCCGACTGTAAAACGAAGCAGACAAGCGCCAACGTCGGAAGGACGCTGCCACCGCCCCTTCCACAGTAGGTGGAGTCGTCCACAAGTGCAACGAATGTGGACGACGCTGCGGGTCCCGTATCGGCCTCTTTAGTCACCTCTAAACTCACTAACCTAGGTGACATCCTTAATAACTCATATCATTGTATCAGCTGGATGGTCGTCATACTCGATTCCGAGAGACAGCAAAGTAGTAGTAGTGTGTACGTGTGAGTGTTTGTTTTGTTTTGTTTTTACTTAAATTCCACTATGTCCTGTTGCCGTTAACAGGACAGTACGGACTCCCTGTATAAGGAATAGGGTGTGAATAAGACATTTTGAACGCCTTGTATAATCATCCTCGTGATTATCAGTTTATTCCAAGAAATAACTTTTGGTATAACTGTATTTTTTATTTTTATCTGTTTATCTGAATCTGATGTGGAACCAGTTTATCGTTTATAAATAATTTTATTCCTTATAATTGTGGGTATATGTGTCATCTTCTATTCTTAAGTAAATTTCTATAGGAAGAAGTGGTTCATATATTTTTAATGAAGAAAAAATCTCTTTATAAGCCACCGATGATTTTTTTTTCACACCAGTTCGTAAATACCCAAAGTTAAGGTTAACCCCAGCAGGATACGGAGTCCCTGGACCAAGACCTGACCTTCCTGATGGCGAGGATAAAGGAGTTGGAGGCCAAGTCGACCCAGACGGGGAGACAATTGCGGTTCTTGAAGAAATTGTTAACCAAGATGGAGGAAAGGCAGCAGGAGAAGACAGTGTTGCAAGACATGTGTGGAGTGTTTGTACCTTGTGAGCAGGACACAGCCATCCAACCCACCCCTACTGTAACGCCAGTCGCTATGTTACTTCCTTGACCTAAGAAGAGCTATACTCTCTATCTCTCTCACCAAAACAGTTGTCACATGTAATATGAAAATTAAAAATCCTTGATGATAACGTTAGCGATTCAAAATTCACACTTCTAAAATATTAGGACACGTCGAGTAAAAACTTGGACGTTAGAGTACTGTTCGGCTGTTAGCTTTGTTCGGCTGCCTTTGGTCGATTCGATTTGCTGTTCACCATTGTATACGTGCACTGTTTACTTACATTGTTTTTATATACCTGCACTTCCTATGTATAATGTATAACTGCATTTTTTGCATACATACTGAATATTATGTATTGTATGAAGATTTAGTTTAATAAATATATCTATGTATATCTCTTTCTCTCGCTACCTGTGGCTTGGTAATGCTCCATATTCCACATCAGTTATATAATCGAGATAACTAAGTCTGACACCGAGACCTACTATACGAGACCGAGACCAAGTGTAATGTTAGCACTTTTTTATACGCCTGTGCTTAAGGGATTCTTTTGTTTGACTTAATAAATAGTCTCTGTACATTGACAGTATACCTTATAATAGCTGAATAGTTGTTGGTACCAAGAGCAACTCACATTAGAGCAAGTGTCAGAATTCAAATTTGAGAATATCGTTTTGAAAAATGTTGGAAATGTACTAGAAACGACAGAACACTTGAGTGGTAGAGGGCGTTTTGTGGTAAGGGATCTGAGGTGTTATAGTTCTCTTAGACATATAAATATGTGTTATGTTCTAGCGAGTAGTTTTAGAATCCCATATGAGTTCTTTGGTATCTTCGGCAGATGGTTAGAATCCATCGTGGACAGTGGCGAATGGAGATGCATTCTTGTGTGTGTTGTCCTGTTGGTAGTAAGCAAATGTTAAACACCGATGTGGTGAGATGTGTCACACTAGAAACTATTAACAGACACATAGAGAGTATTAAATCAAGTGAATGTTATGCTTTTACTGATGGTTCTATGCAGACAAACACAGGTAGAACAGGCTGTGCAATTGTAATATATAAAGAAAAAGAGATGATATTGTCAAACAAACAAAGGCTGAACAACTGGGCCAGCACAACACAAACTGAACTAACTGGAATCTACTTAGCCACAGACTACCTCAAAGAAAATGGAGGTGGGGTGATATTCTGTGACTCTCAAAGTGCTTTGAAATCAATGAACAGCCCGTCAGGCTCTATGTCTAAAGTTGTATGTGATATTAAAAGGAATGTGATAACTGCCAATGAGACCAACTTTCGTATCGAATTTGTGTGGATTCCGTCCCATGTTGGAATCAGGTATCATGACCGTGCTGATAGACTGGCCAATGAGGCATGTAAGAAAGAAAATGTTGACCGTGACCTTGGCCTGTCCAATGCTGTAATTAAAAACATTCAAGTCAGAATCATGAACTCTGATCTAGAAGAAGTGAGAAATGCAGAGAGACCTGACAGTTGTAGCATTAGTAAATCTGACAAATTTTGTAACAAGAGGTACCGGTATGGCCAGCATAAGGACAGAACCAGACAATGTGATGTAGTCGTGGCCAGAATTAGGCTAGGATACAGACACATCTGGCAAGTTAGTAACGCTGTACCCATACCGGAACACTCAGCATATAAACTTTGTGATAAACCTTTAAAGCATACACTTGAGCACTATATTATTGAATGTGACACTGTCAAAGACTTCAGGCCACCTGACTTATTGTATCTTGAACTATGTAATTACTTCATTGAATCAGGTGTGCTTGAGGACATTCTTGCTGTTTATCCCAAATTTGCTAGCCCACACTGATTAGTCTTCAATTAGAATATGACTCCAATGTATGTGATCCACTGACCTATATATACTGCTAATGAATATGATGTATTTCCTTCTTTGTGTACGAACCTCTGTCCTGCATGGCAGTGAACAGTGACACTACCCACATGAATCTGACCGACGTATATGTATGTGTGCGTGTGTGTATATACTGTATATGTACATGTACATGTATATGTGTATGTATATATGTATATGTATGTATATGTGTGTGTGTGTTTACATATATGTATATGTACTGTCAATGAATATGATGCATCTCTTTGTGTACGAACCTCTGTCCTGCATGGCAGTGAACAGTGACATTACCCACATGAATCTGACCTCTATACATTTATAGCTGTTAATGAATGTGATGTATTTCTTTGTGTATGAACCTCTGTCCTGCGTGGCAGTGAGAAGTGATACCACCCTCAGTGTCAAGACCTGACTGAATTACTCAGAAGAGGCAAACTGTACTACAAGCTCTGCCAATAAATTTGTTAAACTAAAAAAATTCCTCTATGTCTACGTTGTATTCCTTCTCACGCGTCCAGTTCCTGTTACAACTTATCACGTTAATTAAACCCTTGAATGGTATCTCACACCTGGGTTACTGGAGAGGTGACCTGGCTAGAAATTGAGTACACAGCAGACTGCACTAATAATAAATATGGAAAGGCTATAATAGACAATAACAGTCTTTTTGATGAAGTCATATTTGCAAAGAAGTTCCTAAATGACTGTGACAGGAAGAAAGTGGGAAAATGCAGGGACTAACAGTGAAGCAAAATGGGTTCAGATGTTTAAACACTTCAGTGGAAAGAACGTTTCTTTTCCTAATCTCATGCATGTCATTAAATTTGTCTTTTGTTTGCCTGGAACATAGGCCCCTGTAGAAAGAGTCTTCTCAATTATAAACAATATTTGGTCCCAAGACCGTAGCCTCATGGCAGAGAGTACTGTTAAAGCCTCGCTTTCCTCCAACTTAATATTGATTTAACTTGCTCACAGTTTTATGACAAAATAAGAAATGGCAGAAAGATGCTAAAGAAAGTACAATCGAGTGAGAAGTATGGATGACCAAAAGACAAAGGAAAAAGAGTAAATTGTGTATTATTGTGGTGCAGTATACTTGTGTATATATGATTTACAAGTTATTGTAATTTTTCTTTCTATGATGTTAGAAACAAAGGAATTTAGGTGATATTTTTCATTATTATGTTTGTGAACCATTTTTCCATATAAAAAGTCAAAGTAGAAGGAATATTATTTTAACTTGCTCACAGTTTTATGTCAAAAACAATGGTAAAGAAAGTACTGCGTAGTAACATGTAAGGGTGGTCAAACAAAACGGTATATTGCAGAAAAATGCAATATGTATTTTATTTGTGAATTATATTATTTGCAACTTATTACAATTTTTCATACATAAATGTATGAAACAAAGGAATTTAGGTTCAGCTGATATTTTCCATTATTATGTTCCCGAAATTATTTTTTTCCATATAAAAAGTAGAAGTAAAAGGCAAATATATGTACAGTGGTATAATATCATGGCCTCATTAAATTAATCCTTGTCCCGGTTTGGGCATAAAAACATATGGTAAGCCTCCCAAGTCACCAGGTGGTTTCAATCGACAAATTTCTCAACCTGAGTTAGACCTGTCCACAATACAAGGACAGGTCGTCAACCTTCACTCTCAGTGTATCACGATTTATGAAGTAATCTCGATAATTTATGAACTAGTCAATCATATCATCATGATCTACAATCATTAATCTATTTTGCATTTAACATTTAAAAAGATAACATTTCATATATACTGAGAAATTCACATATGTCTTACAATAACTTAAAACTTTCCATAAGATATTTAACTCCTTTCAATAAATGTTCATTGAGTTACAAAATTTTAAAACTCGCCAATCATTTCAATGTGATCATTAATCTTCTTTCTAGGTTATTTAAGATTAAATAACAATTTAGAATAACACCACAATTTCAGAATTTATCACAACTTTTTGCTTAAATATGCTGAGAATATACATAATACATCTCGTATTTCAGGGGTTAAATTATTTTTGTCACATAATAAGATATATTTTGGAACAACAGAAAATCAGTTTTGATAATAAGTAAAATTAATTCAGCTATGTTACAACTAAGGCAGACGCATTTAGAATAACCAGTGCCAGATTAACCAGTGATGGAAACCTGACTTTGTTCTGCTCACTTTTGTAACTTTGGTTGTCAGCAAATCCCTACATAAGTGGTCAGAAGTAGTGACCTGAAATATCACAAAGATCCCCAGTTTAAGAACCACTAGTACAGTACTTGAGTTACTTCCCTTATAGTCAACACCCACTGGTGGTAGGGTCATCACTATTGTCTTCGTATAAGTCTATGCATTAATCAATACAGTATATAGATCTTGTTTACAAAGTTGTGTTAGTCTTCATCGCTAAAGATTAAGGTGCAAGTGGTTTTGTCTGCCAATGTCACATACTGTATTATTTCATCCTTTTTTTCTTTTTATTTAGGACCTTTATAAGCTATATAGTTTACAAATCATCAACGAACAACAGATGCGACTGAAACAAATTTTTCTTTTGGTGTAACATAACTAAACACAGCTCTCAAGACAACGTGATGCTCTGGTGGTCACGCGTCTGTCAGTTAGTGAAGTTCTTCTAAATTATGTGAATAAAGTAGCTGATCAAGGACCACATTCTCGCATAAACTTGGCTACATTAAATCATACTTTCGTCACCATTATGCTACTCTCAACACTCACCTATTTCTGGCCTTAAATCTCGTGGTTTCACAAAGCATATATGAATTAATATGTAATTCTTTCACAACATCAACTAATGAACGATGATTAATAAACCTAAAACAAAAGAACAACAAAATATCTCAAAAAATACCATCAATCATAACTGAAGCTCCATCTTATCCTTTATGCTGCCAAGTAATATATTAACGGATCACCTGAAGAATCTCCTCCGCTCCAGCTTATTTCACCTTAAGATTAACCATCCTAACACAGTTTGGGGAGATGAGGTGAGATTAAGCTAGCGTGAGGTGGTTAATCTTTAGATGGAATAAGCTGGGGTGGAGCAGATTCTTGAGGTGATCCGTTTTAACATTAGGGTTCGTGTTTTTTTGGTGTGTGTGAAGGCTTGTGGTCATTTACGTGGTGTTACATTTGATCCTATGTTTTTCACCTCTCACTACACATGACATTAGGTCTTGCAACAGCATATTTTGTTCATTGACTTGACGGGATAAATTTTCAAGTAATCTGTAGGTGTGCTCAGGATCACGCCCACCACATAAGTGACATGAAGAATTTAGATTACTGCAACTTTTATTTATAGTAGCATTGGAGTTAAGTTCAGTATCTTGACTTATGTCTTGATTCACCTTGTCAATAACCCAGCCAATATTGTAACGTTTCCTCAACGAGGGAAACCAAGATTCTATTGTTATTATCAAGCTCACGCGAACAGACAAATTTATGAGCTGAGCCTGGTCCTTGGCCTTCTCCATCTCCCCTTGTGGAAGATTCGTTACAATATTAATCATTCCAATTACCATGATCCCAAGAAAGCAGAGCAAAAGAAGGCTGCTCATGATTGGGTAGGGTAGACTCTCCGTGTTACCGAAGTTTTCCTCATATCCTAGGTCGCCCACCATCATGGTTAAGATCTTCATAATGGCACGAGAAAATTTGCTGAATGCATATTTTCCTCTCATAAGCATTTGAAAGGCAAATGTAAATGCAACCACCTGAAGAAGCAAGAGTCCAAATAACTTTAAGATAGTTTTGAGGAAGTCATTTACAATAAAGAGATAAACACTAAACTGGGGCAGCAAACCCAGCAATATAATGAAGTGATACCAGGCTAACAGTACTGAGCAGACTCCACACCTCCACTGCCAGTCCTGAAATGAAGAAAAATGTACAGGATTGACACATTACTGGTGGATAATGGAAGGATTTCATATATTTTGGACAAAGTCGATAACCCTTCGTGATTTTAGCGTTTAAGGATCACCTGAAAATTAAACCTATAAGTGCTCACCTGAAGAGTCGTTCCCCCCCCCCCTCCCCCCCATTTTATGTGGGGGGAGGGGGGTAATGCATCTTGATATTCTCATTTGTAATCGACCTATGGTTCATGCTTCCAACCTTTGAGAGTTAATAAGTCTCAATAAACACAAGTTTCTGCACCCTACATATCAGCTGGTCTGGGTCTGTCGGGTCGCCTCACACTCCTGGACACCCTCAAACACTGGCTTTTATTCCATTTTTTAAACAAAAGAAAAAATGCCACGGAATTTTGAGGAAAGTAAATCATAATTTGGGGGGGATTAGCTAATTATATTTCCAGCAGTTCGGAAGAATACATTTTTCTCATTCTCATTAAAAACGCAAAACATAATATATCCTTGATCAACTCACCTCCCTCACCCCAGTCGCTGCTGTACAATCGGTCCAGTCTACGAGGAGGGTTAGAGTAGTTGTGAAACATAACAGCCGAAGTATTTTCTCTACTCTCAGGTACATCCCACGACACTGAGGTACGAAATTAAAATGTTTTAGGCAGATGAAATTTAATGGAGACAAGTGTAAAGTACTTAGTCTAGGAGACGTAAACAGAGAAACCAGATATCAGATGAACAACGTTGTTATAGAGAAATCCGACTGTGAGAAAGATTTAAGAGTAATGATAAGTAGGAATCATAAACCAAATAATCAATGTGTATTTGCTCTAAACAAGACTAACAAAGTACTTGGGTTCATACAAAGGAGTGTTAGTTACAAGACTAGTGAGGTTATCCTAAAACCATATCTTGCGCTTGTGAGACCTCACTTGGATTACGCCGTTCAGTTGTGGTCACCGTACTACAGAATGGATATAGAAAGAATCCAGAGGAGAATGACAAAACATTCCCGGGCATTAGGAGCCTTGAGTACAGAGACAGATTAAAGTATCTTAATTTGCACTCCTTCGAGAGACGAAGAGTGAGGGGCGAAATGATCGAGGTGTATAAATGGGAATCAAGGCTAAACGAAGGTGATATAACAAAGGTACTCAAACTATCCAACCAGGAACGATCTCGTAACAATGGTTTTAAATTAGACAAATTTAGATTTAGGCACGAGATAGGTAAACACTGGTTTGGAAATAGAGTAGTGGATGAGCGGAACAAGTTACCAAACATCATTAACATCATTAACTCGAACACGCTGGATAGCTTCAAACATAAGTCATATTACAATTTTATCTTGCTCTAGTCAGGCCGCACCTCGATTATGCTGTTCAGTTCTGGTGCCCTTATTATAGAATTGATATCAATTCACTGGAGTCGGTGCAGTGAAGAATGACGAAAATGATTCTGGGACTTGGAAACCTTCCCTATCAAGATAGATTAAAGAACCTAAACTTGCATTCCCTAGTTTTAGTTTAACAAATTTATTGACAAAGCTTGTAGTATAGTTTGCCTATTCTGAGTAATTCAGTCAGGTCTTGTCACTGAGGGTGGTATCATTTCTCACTGCCACGCAGGACAGAGGTTCATACACAAAGAAATACATCATATTCATTAACAGCTATATACACATATATAGAGGTCAGATTCATGTGGGTAATGTCACAGTTCACAGCCATACAGGACAGAGGTTCGTACACAAAGAAATGCATCATATTCATTGACACTATATATATAGGTCAGATTCATGTGGGTAATGTCAAGAAAGAGGAAGAGTGCGGGGAGATAAGATAGAGAGAATAGGAAAATGAATAAAATGTTTAAAAGATGACGAGAATGTTACGAATCTGGTCTGAAGGGAAAAATAGGGTGGGTAAGGTGATGCAGAAGGTCTAATAAATAAGAATTCTTCATTGTATGGACAAGGCATGGGCAAACCCGCGGCCGGTCCGAATCCTGTCTTTGTGTGGCCCTCAGAGTGATTGAAAAATTCTATTTAATGTGACCCTCGGTTCAGATAGATGCATCCAGTTTATGGTAAGTAAAGCAATATTTATTAAAAGAATTATCTTCACACACAGTTCATTACTGTTTCATCACCTATGAGTTACTAACTGCCTAAAATGTAACAGTGAAATACTGTAAGTACAGTATATATGGTCAAAGACGAAAGCTAGGTTCTCCAATTTTTCCCTTTTCCCTGTGTTATTTTATAAAGATTTATCTTATGAGAGAGAGAGAATGTGCCTAGAGGTTGTTTTTCAATGTAGTTGCGCTTAGATTAACATTGCCATTATTCTGTTGGGTGTCTCATAAGTAAGGAAAAAGTTGTAACTGTTGGAAAAAATCAAAGTATTCACAGACTGCTTCACTCATCACCCGTTAAATGTTAAGAAGCTTTAACGTATTACTTAAAAATTATTATAGTGGATTAGTTTCATAAATGAGAGAGAGACTGTGATTGTAAACTGAAAGTATCGTAAGGTGGACTTGACGATAAACTGTTTGACTGTCCGTGCTAATACAATATTAACATTACTTTTGGGTTAGGTACGATATAAATTTTGGTGGGTTGGCCCGTAGAAAAAAATGCCTAAATCGTAATGCGCCCCATGATTGAGGAAAGATTGCCCGTGCCTGGTATAGACCATTGAACATATAATTAAATGATGTGGTGTGGGAAAGCTAAAACGAATATGAGAGGAATTTATTAAACACAGCCTCATTGTAGCTACTCTGAAAGGTGACGGTACCAATTAAGTTATGTAAGTGTTAAATAATACGCCTTAGTGAAGGAAGTTGAGTTCATGTACGGCTAAAACACATGATACAAAATATAACCTTTAAAACGTTATAAACAGTGACTACTCACATGCAGATTTTTGCCTCTCTTCACGGCGAAACAGACCAAAAGGAGGAGGAGGGTAAATTTCCTCAGGAGGACGTGAGTGAAGTTCTCCTCTAACATGCCACCCTGAGCGTGTTAAATATCATCATCAATCGGATAACATAAACAAACATTTTAGTATTTACCTCACACAAATAATGCAGTGCTGGGAGTGAGGGAAGAGAGGTTCTAAGCAGTCCTTAAGTAATGAGTGTTTAGGTAATAATTGCAAAGAGGTAATATTGACAAAATAATAACTATACTGTAATTGCAGAAAGCTGAAGATATTTTTGTTGCATAAACAAATAAAGATACGATAAAGAAATTAATGGACTAAAGCGGCTCTCAAGGTATATTTTCATAAAGCCAACCAAGAAAAAATGCAAAATATAGAACTAGATCAATACGAGGAAAACCCTAATATTTATTTATATATCAGAAAAGTAAACGTAATATGGAATTTAATTCGTTAAAACTAAAGATCACATTAATTCCATGCTATCAAGAGTTAATTTGGGTGTTTAAAAACCACTGTAGATTAAATAAAGGTGGCCTTACTGGGATACGGAAATCAGATGAAGCCTCGCACTGGTAGTTTGGATCTGAAGAATTTGAATCGGGACGTTCACAGGTGTCCCTCTCGCTGGAGCTATCACACGCCATCTCCTGCGTTACGTTGAACTCAGCTCGTACATAAGACCAATCACTGATGAGAAGCAGCACTCCTTAGTGTCTTCCTTGGAGTTATATATATTAGAACAGTTTCCGTAGAGGCAGGACATATAAAACGAATGGTTGTGATAGGAAAACTGAAGAGGAGTCAGCGTTAAAAAGTTGTGGCTCTAGAAATCCACCATTACAAGATATAAAAATCTTTAACATCCACTGAACAGTTACTTAGAAGTTATGTTAATATAATTTTAAGCATTGTTGTGTCGCTTATGTTATCGTAGTTATTCCCATGTTGACACAGGTGAAGGAAGCGTGTGTCCTGAGGCTAATTCATCACTTGTCGACTAGCACTCTTGTCCCCATTAGCCAGTGAAATAATTAGCTTGTTGTAATAGAAGTTCGCAAATGAAGGGGTACCAATGGGCTTTTCCTTCCTGGTGGGGACTCCAAAGATGGCTATATTGAGAAAAAACTAAACATCAGTAGACAATGCAACAAAGAAGTGGCAACTTTTGTTAAGGAGTGACCACCACGCCACGCCTGAAGCTTCTGCTAGGCTAGTTAAATCCGCCATTAAGTAAACCCAACAGATTATTTACTTTATTTTGGGATTTTTATATGTTAGAATTAGTCGTCCGGTATCTACCAGCTGTACCTACCAAAAGGGCAAGTTTCTCAGCCTTCACAAACCAAAGAGAGCTAACACCTCGTATGGACTCAAGAGATCATATTAATTACAAAGTGCTGCAAACATTGGTGTGACAGGTTGAGTGAAGGGGTTGAGGTTAAATCATAAGAGTTTTAAGATTTTCAGTGAGTTGTGAAAAAAAAAATATATGTCGAGTAATCTTGATAAAATCACACGGGAAGATGGAAACAACGGAGTACCTTAGCTTTCGTCTTTATTCAAGACATCTTCAGAGGCAACTGGTAGGAATGTCCACTATAGTACAGGTATTATATATATATATATATATATATATATATATATATATATATATATATATATATATATATATATATATATATATATATATATATGCTGATAACACAAGGAAAGAAGAAAACACGAAGTTCCCAAGCGCTTTGTGTAATTCACATCTTCAGGGTGAGTACAGACTAGAGAGTACGATACGATACGAAGTCATTAGTTAAGAGGTGAAAGAAGATTATTAGGAATTGAAGGAAAAGTGGTGAAACTGAAATACAGTAGGAGTAGAAGAATCTGGGCTCAACCAGATCGCTTCATCTTTCTTATTGGTGTTTTGTCTTTGTTCTGCTCCTTGGGTCGTCAGACCTTTGTATTAATATTGGTTTATTTATATAATGCTGCTTATTATTATTATTTTGTTATTGTTGGAGTTAGTGAGCCCGCCGGTCCTTGTGTAACTGGGAGGGTAGTCACATTTTGGTGTTAGTTAAGTGTTAGTTGTGTTAGTCTAAAGGTACACTGTATGGAGAGGGCCTGCCAGGTTCTTAGTGGAGCTGGTTGGTCACTCATCTTTATTCCTCTAGTAATGTTTTATGTAGAAATGTGTATATTGAGGCAGGAGGTGGTTCAATTACTTCTTCTGGCTGATATAACTGAGAGGGTAATCACATTATTATTATTAGTATTATTAATATATATATATATATATATATATATATTTTGAGTTAGTGAGCCCGCCCAGGTCCTTGTGTAGCTGGGAGGGTAGTCTACATTTCTCTTACTAAGATGTTAGTTCAATGTTAAATGTTAAATGTTAAATATTAGTTATGTTAGTCTAAAAGGTACATTGTATGGAGAGGCCTACCAGGTTCTTGTGGAGCTGGTAGGTCACTCTCATCTTTATTCTCTCTATTAATGTTTTATATGTATATTGGGGCAGGAGATGGTTCAATACTTTCTTCCTGGCTGATTTAAACCAACTGTGTTCTTGGAATCCTTCGTTGTCTATATTATTTATCCAGTTTTGATATGTTTCTGTGTTAAGTTCAGTCACTTTTTCCAAATATTTACAGCTTTGTTGTGTATATACATTGATTGCTAGGTTTGCTCTCTTGTGTAGCTGTTCATTATTGTTGGTCTGTATATTTTATGTTATATATAAATCTGAGGGCTATATTTTGTACTGTTTGTAACCTTTATGCACGTTTTACTAAGGGTGTTCAATGGGATGGGTGGGTAGTCCATAATTGATTTGACAAGGGCAATATAAATCTTTCTTTTGTTATTAATGCTAAGGTTCTTAAAGCGTTTTATTTTTGATAATCTTATTCTTGCCTGTCGTTCTTTATCTTTTAAGTATGTTATATATCCTCTTTTTGTTAGTTTTAATCCAAGCATCCTACCATTTAGATAGTTTATAAGAGATTGACCCAACTGAGCTAATGATGGGTCTTACTGGGTTATTGGGCTTGTGGGTCTTGATTACACCGCACATGTATGGCAGTGGAGGAGACGTTGAAGTAAGATGTTTAATGAGAGTAGCTTTGCCTCTCAATAGGGACTTCAGTTTTTTGTTGAACTGGGTGTTGACAGTGTTGAGAGGATTATTTATGAGTTTAGAATATGTTGTAGTATCACATAAAAGGTCATTGCAAGGAATGTAATATGTTTTACTTAGGCCAGACAGGTAAAGATCTTGCAACTAGAATTAAACAACACAAATACAGTGTTAGGACAGGCCAGGAATCCAATGCTCTGTTTGTTCATTTGAGGATAACAAGCATTGCATTGACTGGGATAATGCCTCCTCAATATTACCATGTAATTCAATTGATAGTAGGAACATCATAGAATCTAGTCTTATTAAACATACCGAAGCATTCAACATGAATTTGAGTAACGGCATGTACAAGCTGGACAATTTTGTAATTAAGAAGATTTGTGATCAGGTGAGAAGGCCGGGTCACTTGACCATCTGACCTGACCACCAACCGTTGTGTGCTATTTAAAGATTAGTAGGGTCATTACCTAATACCTGACCATTGTGGA